AAAAAAAAGAACTGAGTAGAAGGCCAACTTTTACTGTAACTCTGCCCTTGGGCTTCAAGCTCAAGGTTGCCATTTCAAGGCAAATGGAACAGAAAAATCCTGCAGAAAATCCTCAGTTCTAAGCATTGTAGTTCTCAAAGAGCACATTGTGCCTTAACTTACCGATTTTGCTCCCAACCTCAGCTGTGGGACCCTGAACACTGAAGCCTATCTGGAATTATTTTTACTTGTTACTAAAATTTTCTGCTGTTCTACATAGGCATTGAATAATTCCTTGGTTCTCAGTATCTCATTTTCAGGATATTTCTCATTATCCTGGTTTCTTGCATTGTACCATTATGTTTATATCTCAACATAAAAAACAACAGACTGAGGCAACATCTCTCTCTATTGCTTAACTATAAAATAAGCAGTGATATTCCCAAAGAGAAACAGAATGAGGGAATTACAGTCCTCTCCAGAGCACATTTTGTAATGTGGGAGTTCATAATGAAGTGAAAGTAGGTGCATGAAAGGGAACTAGAATGGCTGGTATAGGTACATTTCATAACTTGGTAAACAAACAAAAAACCAGACCCTCATGTTGACAATTTCTTAACCAACTTGCAAAATTGCAACCACTCTGCAGTTGTCTTCACAGCATCCACCCCTCCCTTACTTGTGTTTATGTACAAATCTGTTGTCCCCAAGATACAGAACGGGCTTTCCCTGACCTGGTTAGGCCATTGTCTTTGTGTTAGTCATGGTCTCCGTGTAGCCAGCAGTGTCTTCTCCAGTGTCCCTTTTAGGATTCTCTCCTGTGTCCCTGCTTCCACAGAAACCTCTCAGCTTGAACTGTCCTGTGAGCAGCAGCTTATAGGCAGCTGCTCTATATTTCCTGGAAATGAGGTTGTAGAGGACAGGGTTGATGGATGCACTGAGATAGAAAAGTTGCAGAGCAACGATGTTAAAGTATTGAGAAAAGTACATCATGCCAGAGTCTTCTGTGTTTATATAAATGATTCTGCCAACGTGGAAAGGCAACCAGCAGACTATAAATGCCAGAACCACGACCACTGCAAAAATAAGACAAAGGCTCATAATTAACAGCAGCATTCAAAGTCAAATAAGAGTTCCTGCACGAAACCATCTGCAGTAACAGCAAAATAAATTTGAATTTGTGCCTAGCCAGATCCCTGCACCAAAAAACAAAAACAAAACAAAAATAAAATAAAACCACCAGCCAGCCAGTTAACTGCCCACCCACCCACCCAACCAACCAGAAATCCAGTGGGTTAACTACATGGGTATTTACTTAAACCTGCATGTTAGGCTAATCTCTGTGTTCTCCAGGCTGGCTATAAACCAGAAATACAATTGCTCCTGTTTTGGTAGACTTCTTGCACAAACCCGCTTAAAAGATATTCCTTGTTCTTTGTTGGACAGAATTCTGCAACAGGTCTAAAGGATCTTTGACTTTTTTTTTTTTTTAATACAGCCATGGCTCACTTTAGCCTTCAGGATAATTAGCATTAAATAAAATCTTCAATTTAGTGTAGTCTATCCTGTTTTCTCAAGGGTACTGTGAGTAATCCATAGCAGTAGCACCCGGGGTTTCAGCGACTTTGGAAAAGCATCGCTACTCACCAGACCCAATTATCTCACCCTCGGAGGCGGCCAGGCTGTCCCAGAGGTGGCACCTTGGGTTCACGAACTTAATTCTTTCTCATCACAAACAGAATTAGACGAGAACCGAATCAAATTCAATGGTTAGGTTTTATGTTGACCTTATGGGGAAATTTGATTCAGTTCTGATCCATTTTGGTTTGCAACCAAAGTCGTGGAAAGAATTAAGTTCGTGAACAAGGTACTGGGGAACAGAGATGGCTTTCTTTGGAGAGGGGATGTACAAGGAAAGGCCCCTGAATTTGGGTAGCCCGCGGATGGTGTACACCGGCTGGTGTTTTTGGAACAGAGGGGGCGCCACTCACTCAAGACGCGGACGGTTTGCCGGTGGCCCCTTTCCCGCCCCACGGCAGTCGGGCTTTGCAGCAGATCCCGGGTCTTCCACAGCTTGCGTCCGATGAGTCCGTAGAGGATGCTGAGGCACAGGAAGGGAAGGAAAAAGTAGGCAGTGGTGACCCACAGCATGACGCGGAGTGCGCCCAGCTGCGCGCTGCTTGGCCGGCACTCGCGGCTGAACAGTGCTGCTGCCTCGGGTTCCGACGGCTGAGACTGCTGCGCTACTGGCGAAAGAGTGAGACGTGCAGTCCTATTAAGGTCTGGGAGCTCACAGATGCCGGGGTCCTGCTGGACGCCCACCAGAAAGAAGAAGGGCCCTGCGGAGAGCAGCGCTACCACCCAGAGCGCGGCGATGAGCGCACGAACGCGGCGCTGGGTGACGAGGACTCTGGCACGCAGCGGGCGGCAGATGGCCAGGTAGCGCTCCACGCTGAGGGCTGTCATGTGCAACAGCGTGGCGTAGGTGCAGCCCTCGCCCAGGTAGAGCGACAAGCGGCAGAGAAGCGACCCAAACACCCAGGGGCGCGAGCGCCAGAGGCGGTACAGGTCGAAAGGGAGCCCGAGCAAGATGAGCAAGTCGGACACGGCCATGCTGCCCAGGTACAGGTTGGTGGTGGTTCGCATGTCCTGGTAGCGTCCGATGAGCACTACGGTCACCACATTGCCGCTCACCCCGATGGCGAACAGACCCAGGCACACGACGGTCACCGGCACCAGAGCTCCCAGGGGAAAGGAAGAACAGCGGTGCTCATCGCAGGGCAGCAGCTCTGCCCACGCCGGCTCCCGAGCGCCCTCCTGGCTGTTGCTGCTGTTCCAGGTGCTGCCCATGGGGACCAGGGGTCCAGCAGGCGCGCTCGGCCTGAGATGTACACGGTGGAGCGGGGCCCAGGCGAGCCCCTCCACGCACTGCCAAGTTCTGCTGCGCCGGGCTCGGGAACGCACGTCTTCCCTGGGGTAGGAGCTACAAGGCGCTGTGAGTCACAGAGCCAAGCCTCCACCTCTGGCCACGGCTTCGGAGTCTGTCCGACTCTTCGCCGTCTCCCAGACCCTTTGTATTCCAGGGCACTTCCCTCGCAACCAGCTGGCACACTCCACCGGGCAACGCGATGCATGAGCCCTGCCACGCCTGGGTAGCAATTTCTTTTCTTTTTTTAAATGTACTTAGTATAGGCTCTACAGGGTCTCACTACACAGATCGGATTCATAGTGTTGTTACTCCTGTTTTCAGCCTCACAAGGGCTGGGATTACAGGCGTGCCCCACCACTCTCAATCGCCCCCCCCCCCCCGGGGGAGGGCAGCACATCATGTTGGGGTTCGAACCCGGGTCCCTGAGTCTGCCTAAGCAGGCACTTTAATTTGCTGAGCTATGGCCTACTCCTGGGTAGCAATTTCTGAGCCCTAGAGAAGTTGGTTCCTTGGACCCAGCGCAGTGCAGGTGTTTTTGTCAATCCAGCATACAGGGACTTTGTGAGGGATCTTGAGTGCCAGCTGTATCCTGGAGGCTAGGAAATGCTCTCATTGACTAGCAGGAAGAAGTACAATCCTAAATAGCAGAATGGTCTAGATCAGAATTTAGAGTCCCTCCCAAATCTGGTCTTTCCTCTACAAAAGAGTTGCAGTGTGACTTTGGACCAGTGTGGTCTTCACCCAGCCCACTTCTCCATAAATTTGCAAGTGGTAGTGGGGGCAGTTGACTAAATAATTTCAAGGGTCCCTGAATCTACAAATATGAACATGCTTACTTAGCATAAAGACAAATGTTTATGTGTACATTTGAATACATAACACACATAATATGCTATTGTTATCTACAAAGTATTTTATAAAATAGGCTATTTGCAAACATCTGAAGGAATGAAAATTTAGGGAAAGGATGGGAGGTGATGTCTGAGTGAGTCCTCGATGAAAATAGCTGAGGTGCAGTGTTTAGGCTGTTGCTGGCTCTGTGCTTTCTCTTCAATCCTGTGCCCCGAGGAGCTCTTTTCCCGTGAATGAATTGGGTCTCCCTTTAGATCAAGCAGGCCATGAGAGGCAGCCTGGTATGTGGAAGGTGGCTGGTCTGATCCCAGAGCCTGTAGCCCTGAAGTCTCACCAGTGTCCAGTTCCACCTTTTTAATGTCTTGGCCTTCATACTCCTCATGAAAGCTTCTCATGTTGCTCTTTTGCCAAATCCTGTTTTTCTGTGCCAATAAACTCATGTCTAGTGGGGTTTTTTTTCCACCGATCTTTTTGTGGCTTAAAATTTCAGTCTTCCCACCTGGCATGGTGGTGTATGCCTGTAATCCTAGCACCTGGGAGACTGAGGCAGGAGGATCACCTGAGTCTGCAGCCAGCCTACACTACACAGTGAGACCCTAGCTCAAAAATTAAAAATTAGTTTTTTCAGCCTCAGATTCCTTCTTCCTTCCTTTAAACCTGAAACTTTCCTTCACACTAGGAAGTGCTTCTCTTCAGTTCTCTGTCACCAGCAGGAACCATGCATGGGCTTGGTGGGGGTTCTCTGTCGCTTCCCCATCTCTGCTCTTTTAACTATCTAAAACCCTAGATTGATCAGGGACAGTTCCTCTCCAGGTCTTCTCCATCACTAACCTTTGTTCCCTGGGGACTGGGTGTTTCCCTGTCTCTCATAAGTACACACACAGTCATATGCCTCCTGATGTGGCCTCTCGGGGTGTTGACCTCCTTTCTATCAGGATCATGCCCTGGATCCCATCAATAATACATTCTGGAGGGTGTGCACCATGTTGACTGCAGTTATCCCTACTTGGGATCCCATCCCCACTCTTTCCAGCTCATTTTTACTTGTGCCTTCCTCCTATAATCCTTCACTCCCTGGAATTCTCATCAGTCACTCCTGACTTGTCTATCCCTCAACTACCTGGTGACTTCTTTTCCCTCCATTTGCCAGCCTAAACTCCATGAGAGTCATGCCCCACCCCCCATCAGTCACACCTCACTCCCTTGCCCTGCTCTCCATTGTCATACCTGTCTGTTCAAGGAGGGCACTGGCTATGACCTGGATATGGGGAATTCTCTGCACACTGAATGCAGGCTCCCACCTAGCTGTTGAGTTGTTTTCCTGGAAATGTGTGACTCCAGCAGGAGTATACCTAGTGACTGCTGCCATCCAAATACCCTACTTCCTTCTCCACCCCATTTCTTTTTAACTTTTTTTGTTTGTTTTTTGCGGGCCCGGGGATTGAACTCAGGATCTAAGCACTTATTCTGGAGTCAGCTCCGCTCCTTACCCACTCTGTTTACCTCCTGGAGGGAATCATTCTATTAATTTTCTCATATATCATCAACATTTCCTCCCTTCTGCATCATTTCAGTGATTTCAGCAAAACTCCTCAAAAGGGGTTCTGTATTCACTGTCTCTACTTTTTCTCTTTTCTTTCCTCTTCCCCTTAGCCAGAGAAAATATAATTTCTTCATTTTCATTTATACTTGATGTGGTTTTCTCTGAGCTCTTAGCTGTCAGGCAGCAAGAGAAAATGATTCGAGTAAAGAATGGTCCAGTTGATCAGTGGCACAGACTACCTAGGCAGTATTTAGTTCTCTCACTGGGTCTTTCCCAGGTGTGTGGGAGGGGAGCCCAGGTGGCTTGAAGGTTCTTGAGCAGCGAGAATAGAAACAAATACCTAAGTCTGTGCTGATTTCTGGGCTGGAAGTTGCTAAACTCTTCTTGCCTCACAGAGGGCAGCTGGTGTCCCCTTCCTGAAGAGTCACCAGCTTCTCTGCTGTCTTCTATGGCAGAGTGCTGTGACTTGTGTGGTGTTTTCCTTTGATTAAAGGGAATTCTTGGCTTGCATAGGCTGTAGATCCCCAAGTCTGCCTAGTGCTTCTCCCCACCCACCGGCACATCTTCAAGGATCACTAGTCAGGACCGGGCCACCTGAATCCTGTCTCCTCTGTTCCTATTCTGTACCACACACCTGCCATTCAGCTGTTATTTTTCTGTTGCATTTTCCCTTCATAGTTTATTACCAATACATTATTTAATTTTCTGAGCTATTTTATTATCTATCTCTCTTCAACTTCCATATCAGGTATGCCAGAAGGCAAGGCTTTTTAATCTATTGTGTTCATTGCTCTTTCCCTGGTGCCTGAATTAGTACCTGGCACAAAGTGAGAATTTGATAAATATTTATCTCTGGGAATGAATAACTCTCTGATGAAGCAGGGACCTTTGTTTTCCTCACAATGTTTGGTAAAGAGAACAGTGTTCTGATTGCACTGGGTACTCAGGAAGAGTCCTTTGATAATCTAGTTCAGGAGAAAGCACTGATTTGAAGAGATGGATGCACAGAAGGCTCTGTTGATACCATTGTGGCACTCAAGTTCAAGCAAGATGTGGCCCTTACAAGACAGCTGAGCCTTTATAGTTAATGGATTGTCATTCCTGTTTTCAAAAGAAATTGGGCAAGGAATGTAAAACTGACCAAATATGTTTTCTACAATTTTTTAGCTATCTAGTCCTTCACCAGCTTCCTGGCTTTACAGTTTGTCTGATGAGAGAAATTTCTCAGTGGACCTGGAATGGTGTGCACCTCTCAGGAGATGATCATGAGAGGACATGCGTGAGTCAGGGTCTGGCTTTGGGTATAGCCCTGTCCCTGGAATAGGCTGATGACATTAGTAGGCTTTTGGTCTCTAGCTAGAGACCCCACAAACTGGTTCTTGCTGGCTGGGAATGTCCTGGATTAAAAATGAAAGGCTGGGCATGGTGGTGCATGCCTTTAATTCCAGCACTTGAAGGCTGAAGCAGAAAGATGCCTTTGAGTTCAAGCCAGCCTGGGCTACACAGTGAGTTCATGCCAGACTGAACTGCATAATGAAAACATATCCCAAAACAAAAACAAAAACAAAACAAACAAACAAACAAAAGCAGCTAATACTTTCTGTACCACTTTAGCCAAAGTGATGGTTAACTTTTTCTTTTCTTTACTTTTTTTTTCTTTGGTTGAACTGGGGATTGAACTCAGGCCCTTGCACTTGCCAGGCAAGCACTTATTCTACTGAGCCATCTCCGGCCCAGAAAGTGATGTAACTGTTGTAACCACCTGTTCTTACTGATATACCAAGACTAAGATTGCCTAGAGGTCATAGAAAATATGGCAGGCCAGTGCCAAAGGAGCCTGGCTAAGTAGGAAGCAACTTCTCATCCTCACTAAACTAAAGAGGTAGGATTTTCTAACTGAAGTAAAAACCTAAAAGCCAACTATATTTGGAAGATGCCTCTGAGAAGTAGCCATTTCCTAAGGGTTCTAAATACTAACAATAAAGCTACTCAGCATAGGAAATTTATAAGCACCAACCCAGGAATTAAACTAAAAAAAAGAAAATGAGAAGACATTTAAGCAAGATGTATCCCCACTCAACCAGTTCAGCAGAGGCAAACCCAGGGGGCAATGAGATGGGACAGTGTAAAAAAGCCACCTACCTGGAATCTTTGAAGTGGCAGCAACAAAGCAAATGAATGAAGCTTTAGAAAAAAATATCAAATCAGAAATAATTTCTCAGGTAACTAAGGAGATGGTGACTACAATGAAAAACACGCTTGGTGACCCTAGTGCAAATATAGATAAAAAATAGAGGTCCTTAGAAAAATAATGAAAACCATGAATGCTCAACATAGGAAAGAAATGGAATCCATAAAACAAATTGAAGCAGATATCCAGGAGACTAAAAATTCCACTGAAAGTATCTAAAGCAGAATAAACCAATGTGAGTACAGAATCTCAGAAATAAAAGTCAGGTTTGTGGTTAGTGATCATGAAAAGAGAAATTTCTTTAAAATAGCAGGGACTACAACAAATCAATCCAG